TCACTGGCGATTTGTCGCCCATGGACATATAGGCTCAGGTGCACACGGGCAACACTTACTTTGGTGTATCGTCTGTCTTCTTTCGTCTTTCTTCCTTCTTCTTTCGTCCTTCCCTGAGCTGACGGGGGAATAACATAAAAATAGTTGGCTGTCCCATCATCAGGGGGAGTAAACCCCCCCCCCCCCCCCCCCCGCTGGTGGGATGCCATTCGTACGTCACTAGCTCTCTGACGTAGGGATAGCATCTTTTGTCCGCTCTTGCTATTTTTTCTGTCCATCTATCTTTCTTTCCGATCTGTCGACCGAAGGTCCTGTCCAGCAAAGAATAGACCCCAAATCCTCGCAACGCTAGGCACCCTGTTGACCGTGGGGTGCAACCCGTACGACCGGAGAAGGGGACCCTGGTGACTGAGGTTTGGCTTCCCTCACCAACACGCCACTTTGGCCCTGGATTCGGTCTAGACGGGCGGGTGCAGTGGCCTACTGTACTCAATCGGTTGCGACCGGTTCATAGAACCGGATTTTGGCCAATCTTGGTTAGAAATTAGAAGGCAAGATTTCTTGCCGTCTGATTGGGAGTATACCTCCAGGGTAGCCCTGACACCAGCTATGGACTTCCGAGCGGTGTCCCCTTGTTGGACTCGGTGGCCGGTGGGGAGCCCCGGAGATGAATAAAAAACAAAATACACATGGATTCAATCAAACACATTTCTCCCACCCCAATTCCCAACAAGTCCCAGACAGGAGAAGCAGGTGCAACTCCTGGCCTGGGCAAGAGAAAGAAGGGCCTTTCGGGCGAAGATGCTGACCATGTCAGCATCTGGGACTTACCTAAAAGAACATCATTGGGGTGGTCACCATTTCTGGTGATCTCCCCAAAAGATGAAAAACAAGATACAAATCTCACTACACTAAGCGTTTTTAAGATACACAAGTCCCTAAAACATTTCGGTATACACAAACCAAAATATATTAAGAAACTAGGATCCACGGACCTCCTGATACAAGTCAGTTCCAGCATAGAATCAGGCAAACTGTTGGCCTGTACCTCGTTTGGTGGCATCCCTGTATGTGTTCAGCCTCACAGAAGTCTGAACACATCCAAGGGTGTCATCAAAAGCCGAGAGCTCTGCGGCTGTACGGAAGAAGAGATGGTTCAGGAGGTCGATGGAATTGTCCATGCTCGTCGTATCAAAATACGGCGGGGTGGCAAGGAAATCTATACCAACACGTGGATCCTTACCTTCAACACACCCACACCACCAACAAAATTAGACATTGCTTACTTAGAACTCGAAGTTAGACCATATATACCGAAACCGAAGCGCTGTTTCAACTGTCAGTCCTTCGGGGACACACAGCTGCGCTGTCGTCGTGGCGCAGCGTGTCCTCGCTGCGGCAAGGAAGGACACTCTGGGGAGACCTGCTCTGTAGATCCCTGGTGTCCAAATTGTCGTCAGGGGGGTCACACTGCATCTTCGACGGAGTGTCCGACGTTGTGTCAGGAGAAAACCATCCTAACACATAGGGCCCAGTACGGCGGAACGTTCGCTCAAGCAAGAGCAACGATTTACCCAAAAGGATCGACGCCGAAGAATACAACAAAAACATATTCAGAAGTCCTGAAGACTGCCCCAGGGCCAGTAAACCCAACCCAAAAGGTCCTTCAGACAAATAGAAAGCAGAACACCTGCAAAAAACAACACTCCAGTCTGGAGACGGAGGAGGACAGGGAGTCCACTTCCTCCCCTCCTATCTCTCCCACTCTTCATCCGCCATCTCCCCACACCCCCTCTTCATCACCACCCTCTCAGCCATTTTCTTCATCCTCACCCCCTTCATCATCCTCCCCCTCATCATTCTCATCATCCCCCCATCATCATCTTCACCCACAACATCCTCACCATCCTCATCCTCACTCAAATCACCACATCCTACACCCTCATTGCTTCAACCTCCATCCCATCATCTTTCATCCAATAATGCCCCTCCACCCACTCCCCGCACCCGCCCCCCCTCTCTACCCGCATCCGGGACTCCGGGGGAGTTATGTCTCAAGAATCTCGGTAGGGAAAGACGCAGCCAATGGGGCAGAAGGGGACTTGGACCAAGAAAACGGGGTCAATAGATAAAAGGAGTAGCGGAGAGTCCGTGGGCTCAGAGGAAGGGAAAGGCGAGTCCATCTCTAGAACAAGCTGGGGGTGTTTGGGGCAGTGAGAGAGCTGATAGGAGTTGAGAGCAAAAA